TTTGTGATAGGATAGGATTTTTTTATGGATTTGGGGTCACAACTGATCCCAAGGAGTATAAAAATGTTTCTCCAATCTGAGCTAATTTTGGCTTGATAGATTCACTTACAATAAGCTAGTTGGTTGATCTTTGGCATTAAATTTTCTCCACTGCTTCCACTGGTGTGTATGGAAGTAGATGTATGCACATTCCTGAGATTGGGAAGTTTCACTGAGAGATTAATGGAGTTACAGCAAACCAGTTAAAATGAGGGAAGGAATTCAATGAATGAATATAATGGGGAAGATAAAATACCACATCTGTTAAGTTCTGGTGGATGATGAAAATATGCCATGTAGTAAATTATACGTATAATGCATAGCTGCTATAATATGTGGAGTGGAGGATAGCTGTGTTTGTACAGGGAAAAAAAAAAAAGCACCCTAAATTCCTGAAAAGCCAGGAGGTCTTTTGCTGTTTCTACTAATATACAAGACAATACGTTCCTAATGGCTGACCACTATTAAAAGGTTAAATTCTTTCTCTTTATCAGGAAGGAAGGGGAAGAAAAATTGGAAGGGAAGAGAATTGACTTTTGAGGCAGTTGGAGAGAAAGTTGATGGTCAAGCAGGATCAGCTCTGGCTTAGCAAAGGGGTGATAGGAAGGCAGTTGTGTTCAGATATTTTACTTTTTATGTTAAGTTTGTTCTACAGTAGCATACATTAATAGAGCAGCTAATTAATGTATATATTAGTAGCAACATTAGTAGCAACTAATGAGTAGATCCACCACTGAATTCTTTGAGCATGTTTACTCTGGAGGAGTTTTGTGAGGGGTGGGGAAGTTTGGAGCAGAAATCTGGTGCATGTCCCCACTTCTAGCCCAAAGTTCTCTTTATTGGATCTGAGAAGTCATAATTGTTGGGCACTTTAAAGATTTGTCCTCCTGAGGTTCAGATGCTTCAGCGCCATGATGATAAAATTTTGTGTGTGTGTGTGTGTGTTTGTATGATCATTTGAAACACCTTGGCAGCAACCAGATGCCTCCAGAGGTTTGGAGTGCTGATTTGTGATGTTGGGCTATTGGGACTATTTGGGGCACAACAGCAGCCTTTTCTGAGCTTCTGGATCTTATAGCTAGGCTGATGTTGGAATTGAAGGCAACATGCTTGGTTCTACCCACACTCCAATTTTATTTTAAACAGCTTTGAGATTTTGAGAGACAGTAGCTAGTCCAGGTTATCCCAATGAGATTTATAATTAAAGCTAATCAATCCGTGCAATTTCAGTGACAGCCAGTATTGACTGTTCCCTCCAGTTTGAAATGACATGTATAGATTTTTTTTTAAATGCATAATTTATTGCTGCTTACAAGTTCACAGTGTAGTCTCAGGTTGCCTTTTATAATTATTATTTTTAAAAGGGGCACTTTTTCTTGTTGTTTGGAGTTTGGAGTAAAGCATCTGGTGCATAGGCAGAATTGGTCTTGAAATGCCCCTGGGTGGGTTAGTAACATAATGATGTCCCATCCCTCTATGGATCATTCCTGGTCTATTATAATTATTATTAAAACATTTATATGCCACCTGACTCCCAGCAACTCTAAGCGGTTACAGATAGGAACATTAAAAATAAGAAAAAGTACAATGATAAACAAATAGTGAAGAGAAAAGATAGCAAGGATGACAAAAAATGGACAGAAATGAAAAGAAACCCTCACAATCCACTTCCTATGCACCAGCTGCTGTGCATTTTAGGAAGTCCAAACAAGTAGTGAAAGCTGTTAAGATGGCCCTCTTATAATTCCTAGAATTTAGCAGAGCAGTAGGCAGTATTTTGATCCACCCAGCAGTTTGGCAGCTTCAGTTCAGGGGAGTTTGAGACTTCTGGGGGAAGTATGGCGACCTGAAGATGTCTCTGTAAAAGTGGAGCCAACAACTGTGGCAAAGACCAAGGAACCAGTGAGTAGACTGGTTCCTTGGAACCTCTCCAGATAAGGAGAGGATGGGAGATCACCCACATATGCTCTGAATGGCTGCTCCTTGTGAGGAGACCACAGGACAGCAGTTTTCCATAGGTTTGAGCGCCGGAAGACAAAGGGATTAGCCATCTTGCTTGCAACCACAATGGACCATTTTAAAGGACACTACGTTTGCAAACCTCACTTCCTAATCACTTTTGGAAATTGCCTATTAACCATCTTAAAGCTAT